AGAATCTTTCCGATTAAATGGATTGTCCAATCGCGCTGTAGAATGATTTTCTCTTGATAATATAACAACCAGAGTGCTTCATTGTTGAGAAATTCAAAATATTTTTCTGAGAAGGTTTGGATGCGGAAGTATCAATGACAGATTTCTGTAAAAATGTGTCAATATCAACAGTTTGGAAGTTTACACCTCTGTTTTCAGACAGTATTTCTGTGGTCCTTTAACGAAGAATTCAACTTAGTCATTTCATAAGGTTAGAAAATAATTAACAACTCCGTGACCTTATTGCCACGACCTCTGGAATTACGATAATTTTAGTTGTGGTTGGATGTTAGATAAATGACAAAATAGAGATTAAGGACACAATGTGACCACCAAGCATTTTGAACTCTTAGATTTCAAAGGAGTGAGAATTCGGTAACATCCTTCCTTGAAAGCCCATTTTCTGTCCATATTTGATCTGAAGCTTTAAACTTGTGTTTTAGATGTTCTCGCTAGATCTAAACTAAAAGATCGACGCACCGATTAAGGCGAAGAGGGAAACGTTTAAATTAAATTTCACTCAGACCAAGTCGGGTATAAAAATTCTTCAGCGTATATTAAAAAAAAGCTAAACGCAAGATAGAGGCAAACAGAACTTTGATCAAATTTAAATTTTTTTGGAAACTACAACATAATCTGATTCTGCAGAACAATCAACAAATTGCCTGCCAAATGAAATAAAAACATCGTCACTCTAAATATGTATTTCTCTGAATATTGGAAAAAAAAGTTCCCGGTTAAGTGGGTAACTTAAATTTTTTACCTAAAATATTAGAAATGTCCAAATACGTGTAGGGCATATATAAGAACATTTTAAAAGATAAAATGTTCGATTGAAGAAAATTTAATGTGAATTCATAAAAAAACATTAACAAACTCACGTTAAAAGACGGCTGGATGTCATAATATCCATTGGGAACAGGTTAAACTTTGTTCCACTTAATTAACACGCAAGGAAGACCTTTTAAGTTATTAGATTGCAAGGCAAGGTGGAAGAAAAGGAGAGTATCAGGAGAGAAGACTCTTTTTTGTTGTATTTCCGTCTTCATACATATATATTCGATTTCCTCTCAGACTTGAGAGAAGGAAAAATGCTTTCCATCCCTTTACTTCGGAAAACATTCTCGAAAATTAATTGATAATGACAAACAACACTTAGCACGAACAATTAGCAAATGGATTATAAGCTTGAGATTTCTATCTTGAACTCGGTTTTGTATACAGAACTTAGTACGTTCGGTCTGTACTTCAATCTCGGTCAAGATTTTCTCACACAGATCGACTTAGCTCGATGTCCAAATCCTGTTTATGTCCGTGTAACGGTCTCAATAACAGAGTAAATTTTTGTTTCTACGTCTAGAACCGTTTCTCCAGAACTAAAACTGAAAATTCATTACACTTTAAACTTACAGGCCAATTAAGCTAAGTAAAAGGCTTAAAAGCATCAGGAGTAACTTGCAATAATAATTATAAACCTCATATCTAGCAGCTCAAATCTCAGCGCCGTTGTCTTTATATCTTTGTTTGAGGCAGCACTTCAGTTGCACACTGGTCTTGTTATAGTTGGGCTTGAAAATGCCTCGAAATTGTCGATATATATCGAAGTGAGAATCCAAAGAAAAAAAATTTTCTTGGGAGAGGTTCGCGTTAGATTGATGATGCACCGCGCATTGTTCACCGTGATGCACCGCGCTTTGTTTACTTAGCGAGAACATTAGCGATTTTCATTCCTCGCGGTCAGTAAAACGCAGACTGCCGAATGCAGACATTTTTTTTTACTTATATTAAGAATCAAAGAATCAAAGCCACCACCAAGCCTAAATCGAGGGCCTCTTCACGGAAATCGCGACTGATAAATTAGAAATAGTTATGCTTGGACTTCAATGAAGGAACAAAGAGAACCCTTTAAGCTATAAGATTTCAAGGCAAAGTGGAAAGTTTCAATGTGACCACCAACCCCATTGACCTATTAGATATCAAAGGAACGTGGATTTTTTAACGAGCTTCCGTGAAATGCATTTATGTTCATTTTCGATCTTCAGCCTTGAACTTGTATTTTAGATATTTCTGATGTATCGAATCCTAAATGTTCGGCGAGCCGATCAAGTCTATCAGTGAAGAAAGAAAAACAAATCCATAATCCCTCGGTTAACTTATTCGAAATAGCAATACGAACAATCCATGACGTATAATGTAACCGTTGTTAAATTTTTCTCTTAGGAAATGGAACGGAATCTGATTCTGCAGAACGTTGGACAAATTTTCTAACCACTTGGAATAAATACATCATGACTTTTGATATCTTCTTCTTTAGGTAATTTAATAAAAAAAAAAGATTCTGGTTAAGTGTGTCGTTATTATGACTAGACTTTTTCTTACCAAGTTGAAATGTCCGAGATATGACCGCGACGTGTGAATGTCTTAGTATCAATTGCAAACAGGTTAAACTTTGTTCCACTTAATTAACACACAAGGAAGACCTTTTAAGTTATTAGATTTCAAGGCAAGGTGCAAATTCAAAGGAAAGAGGTAGGAGATAGACTCAATTGTTTCTGAGTTTTCGTCGCTATTCATACATATTCAATTTGTTTTCATACTTCTAGCGAAGGAAAAAGCGCATTCCATCCCTTAACTTCGGACAACATTTTCGAAAATTAATTGATATTGAAAAACAGCACTTGGCACGAATAATTAACAAATAGATTATTAGCCCGAGGTATCTATCACGCATTAAAATAGAGAGCAAATAATCCAATTGTTTTAGCATAAATCTTCGCCTCGACTAGTAAATGACCTCAATCAGTCTTGTTTACTCAAAGAGACAAAATTCATGTTAAAAGACGTCTGGATATCTTAAAATCAAATCAGGGAAACGGTTAAACTTTGTTCCACTTAATTAACACGCAGTGAATCCGTTTTAACATTACATTTCAAGGCAAGGTATAATTTCTTAGGGAAGATTTAGGAGAAAACATTATTGTTTTCCCTTTCGTCTTCAATATCCAATTTGCTTTAAGATTTCTTGTGAAGAAAAAAGTACATTCCGACATCTTAGTGCTTTGGAAAACACGCTTGAAATTGAATTCACAACGTCAAACGTTACATAAAGGCCAGCCAAACAAAATTAAAGTTAGACATAAATGTTATTCCTGTTTTCGTTTTACTACGGAACGAACGGGCTTTAATGTGACATTAAAATTTGACATGAGGGCTTCATTCCACTAGCAAAATAGTTTAACCAATCAAAGAAGATCTATGTTAGTAACATATCGTGGTGCTCAAGTTATTCAATCTTCAGACATCCAAATAATGTTTATGTCCGTGTAGTGGTCCCAAAGATAGAGTAAATTAATTTATGTTTATAAATCTAGAACCCATTTTCCC